TTGCCAAGTTTGAAAAACACTGCCTTAATGCATGAGAGTGATATCCTCAAATCCTGAAACTTTAAAGTCCCCTTTCTTTCAAAGGTTGGTCTTCCCTTTATAATTTGCCCTTCATTAAGGACTTGGCCAATTAAAATTTGGGTGCTTCATCTTCCACCCAGTGTAAAGGAGAAAACAAACCAAACTGGAACAGAGCCCTCTTGAATTGTTATTGTCAACTGCTGGGATGAATCTTAGAGCTGACAGAAGCTACGGGGAATTTGTGAATTTATCCTCCCTGCCTTTCCAAGGCGTTCCCTTCTCTCTTGCACACCCATGTTGCCCACAGCTGTTTGCCTGATTTTAAGCAAGCCCTCTGCTAGTTTTGACTTGCTGTTGGCTTGGAATTAGCCATCCAACCACCTTAACATCAAAGCAGGGGACGGCATGCTTTGAAAAGCTGCAATCCTCCCTAAATTTTCATGGTCAAAAACATGCTGTAGTTAATAGAGGAACGTTGAGGCCAACTGGACGGGTGCCCAGTTGGAGGGAGCTCTTGATGTGATGGGGGCTACCAGTGGGACTTTCTCCCTACTGTTCTGCAGATGACAAGGATTCTACCCCCCAAAAAGTTTCTACAGAGCTGCATAGGGAAGGCATCAGGAGCAAACCTAGTCTGTTCCAAAGCTGAGCCAAACAGCTGCTGCCAACCTACGAGAGCTGTTGCAACTCGTTGAATCCTTGGCAGCGAGAATGAATGGTGGCCTCAAACAGCTGCTGACCCGAGGCCTTGGATGGTGTTGAGCAGAATAGGGGACCTGGATCCTGAATGCAGGTGGCACATCAAGTCTGGAGGCTTGGGTGAGTGACAGTTAGCAGGACTGGGGTCAGCCTTCCCAGGTAGACCAGGACAGAAAACACCACCAGATGAGCTAATTCTACTTTATTGGAAGGCTACATTAATTAACAGAATCTTGCAAGTCTGAAAGTACAAATCTCCCGAGGTCTCCTTTGCAATCTGAGAAATTAGAGAGGATCCCTTCTGAGCCTCTTTCTCCACCCATTTTGCAGCTGTGGGCTATGCCCCCTCTTATCTGACCGTTCTGTAGGCAGCATCTCTTTTCCCCGTTTCTCAAGGTCTTTCTCACATACTCATTACAATTGGTGCTGGGCGACAGCAGGACTGGTACTGGGTCCTTCATAATCAATAGTCAGGAGGTTAACATGGGTTAAACAGTTGCAATTCGATGCTGGAATTTCAGGACAGCTTCTTCTATTTCAAAAATAGCATTAATCCTGCAATAAAACGATGGAGTGTGAAATGCTTCTGTTTTGGGTCTGGTCCGAGTGCATTTTCCCTTGCGGTGAGTTTTGGAGGCCACCTTCCCCCCACTTTTCTACCATATATTTAGCTCCACAGGATGCCTATAAGGGGGGAAGGTCAAAAAGGTCAAGTTGTCAGCCACAGCTAAGCGATTTAAGCCCTGCCCCTTTTCACCTGTGTCATCTGCATGATGTAGGTAAAAAAGGGGGCAGAGCTTGGATTACACAGGTGCATCTGTTGCCTTTTTGGACACCCCTGCATGAGATGAACGGGTTGTATTTCCGGAACCCCTTTGGTGGTGTGTTTCTTAGCCCGTTTTAGCGCCCCATTTTAGCCATCTTAGAAGCAACGTTGGCCTGCCTTCCAGCTGAGTGTGCTCAGAATTTCCCAGATGAAACGGGGGCCGGGGGGGATGATTTGTAATATTCCAGATCTTGGACGCATCGATTTCCTCCGGATGTATTTATCAGCAGCTGAAGAGAGAGAGAGAGAAGGGAACCCTTCGGGGAGATTAAAAAAGCAGACGAAAATACAAACTCCCTCTAATGTTCATAGGTGAAGGGTTTGGAAGCCCTGGGAAGCAGCAAAGCTGCATGGGGTTTCTGCCCCCAGTATCAGGCAGCATCCCTGCCCCAGTGTGCCTGTGGGGTTGTGGCCATTGCACTTAAAAATTTGATAGGTGTATAAAATAAATATCTTTTTTGATTCTTCTGAGCTGAAAGGGCCCAGAAACTGCACTCTTGTCATCATAGCCCCTGAATTAAAAAAAAAGAGAGAGATTAAACCCTTTTCTTCAAGGTGCAGAGTCAATAAAGCATGGAGGCCGTTCTGTTGCCTTGGGAAGCCACGTTTCCTGCAGGGAGAGAAATCAGACTTGAAGTCCGGTGGAGTGGGTTTTGTCCCGCTCCTGTTCGTGCTTTTATGACAACATTCAGTGGAAGGAAAAGCACTTCAAATGCAAACAGGGGTGTGCCATGAGGAACCTGCAAGTGCACAGTCGTGCACACACAACAGAGAGAGAGAGAGAGAGAGAGAGAGAACTGCTCCTGACTCACAATTCCTCCACATTCCCTGAGGGAAGGGAGTGATGTTTGTTTTCCTTGTCAGGAACAGCTCTGACTTCAGGCTTCCGGCAAAGAGGTTAAAAAATAGACTTCTCCAGCCAAAAGCCGGAGCTCGTGCAGGGCTGGGGAGATTCCTGGCCCTGATTGAAGCATGCGGGGCTGCTGGCAGGCTGCTCGGTGTGGTTGTGTGTGTGTGTGTGGGGGGGGGTCATGTCCTGCAAATACATATATAGGCACGTGCATTTCCCTGCATGCGACATCACAAAACAGCTTGGAGGGACTCCATCTGAGTACAACCAAAACAGGGTCTCCAAATTCAGCCTGCCAAGCTCCCTCCATCCCTCCATCCCTCCCTCCATCCCTCCATCCATCCATCCATCGCTGTATGTTATTCCATTAGCAAAGGATTTAAGGAAGAAACTGTTCTAGCCAGGGGTGTATGCAGGGAGTGGGTTGAAAAAGCCAAGATGGTGACCACAAGCATGTGACAGAAGGCCTGCCCATTTTTATGGATGTCCGTGTAAAAGCCTCCAGGTTGGAGGAGTTTTTAAGCTTTTAAGGTTCCCGAGGCTTATTCATGCTACTCTTCCTACAC